TATTCTTTCTTTCATTTTATCTTGTAAAGTGTGGGGTGTGCGATAGACTTACCTCCACGTGGTGCACCCTGGGCAACGTATACTCATACGGCAAAAAGTCTATTAACCGGCAGTTGACTTCTGACTTCAAACTACAATGGCCCAATTGTATGCCATATTCTACCACTTCTACAATAATCATCCTACCTTCTCCCTGCCTTTGTGTCTGTCTCTTTTACATCTCTGAATCGCTCTTCTGTTCCCCAACCCTTGACTTTCTGTTACTTTGATGTTCCTTCCCCCTGTGAAGCCCGAAGTCAGCTAAATGGCTAATGATAACTATCAAAACGCCTGCCATTTGAAATAAATAAATCTTGTAAAGTGCCGCCTTCAAAAATTTGAGCTTATCTGCTGGAATTTGTTGAAGCCATGTACATATGTAGCACTTCCAATGGTGTAAGTACAACTATTATAATTGTCATTTGCACAAAAAAAGATTTAGAGTGTTACATTCTGCTTCGCATATTATTTGTAAATGAAAACTTAAGCCATAAATAATAACAATAATTATGTTAAAATGCACCGATATTGGGATCACGTTGAAAAGCTGTCGTATGACTTGAAAGTTCATTTCAATAATTATTAAATCACCCCCCCCCCTTCTATGACTGGTGCCAAACGCCTCACTTCCATCAAGTTGTAGCAAGGATGACGGTAAATCTCTGCCTAGATGAGCCATCTATGTTCTATTTTGGTTCACAAACTTTATTCACACCTCCTTTATGCAATAGGGCTACAAACTATCGGAAGCGGATATTAATGAATTCCATGAGGCCTTTACTTTATTCGACAAAGATGGAAATGGCTTGATTTCACGTTGTGAATTGGTTGGTGTCGTGAGATCCCTCGGCCACAATCCAACGCGTGAGGAAATTAGGCAAATGATGGAAGAAGTTGATGCCGATGGTTGTTGATGATTCTCTAATTAAAATTAATCTGTCTATAAAATTGTCTCTTTTAAGGCGATGGATCGATTGATTTCAACGAATTCCTCAAGGTGATGACAAAGAAGTTGGATGACTGTGAACCGGAGAGGGAGATGCAGGAGGCTTTCGAAGTCTTTGACAAGAATGGAGATGGCTATATTTCTCAAGCTGAATTAAGGTTAGTTTTGAACCTTGTCGACCATTTGCCTTTAGGGACGCCATGGCGAGCTTTGGAGAAAATGTTAGCGTAAAGGAAACCAAGAAAATGATGGAGCACGCTGATATCGATGGCGATGGACGAGTAGATTACGATGGTAAGACCTCTTTGAAATGTTGTTTACAAAACATTCGGTTCAGTTTAACTTTTTATTCTTTTCCTACTATAGAATTTGTTCATATGCTCACTGGGAAGTAAATTTTTGGATGCCTTCACAAAATTTGCACTTTTCTAAAGAAATCATTCCCTAGATTTGCAGTAGCTTTAATTAAATAAAGAAATGTTATTGTATACTCTACATAAAATTATGTGTGTGTGCTTGTTTATTTTTGGGTCTTTATTATCAAAGGATTCTTTTAAGTCATAAATACCAATCGACAATCTCAACTTCCTCCGCGTTTTAATTTTAAATATTATTCGAGTTAACGGCAATTTTGAGAATTCGTATCTGTTCACAATGTTAAACAATAGAATCGGAGTAAAGTTAGAAGAAAAATATTCATTCATAAAATATTATTCTTGACTGTTCTGTTAGGCCATTGTACTTGGAAAAGCACGGTAAATGCATTTTCACAGGATTTGCATTGTGGGAATTCGAAGTTAAATCGTCTCGGAGTAAAATAAACATGTTTATTTGCAACGAATCTAAACTAATAAATGGAGAACCTGCGGATGGGCCAGGTACGCGACAGACTTGTCCCTACGTGGTGCAACCTGGACAACGTATACTCAAACGGCGAAAAAAACTATAAAGCGAAAGTTGACTTCTGACTTCAAACTATTGGGTTGGCAACTAAGTCATTGCCGTTTTGTTGACGGATTCACTCTATACTTTCTCTTGTTTTGTTAACGTGGCCAGAGCATCTAACCTATATTTTTTTCTTACTGTATGGGCTTCTAGGTTAATTAGTAAAAAATTTTTTTGCTTAGTTCTTTAGTTTTGTTTTTATCCCAATTTAAAAATGAAAGAACAGGACGTGCACTTCCGACACATTTTATTGTATTGCTTCCGAAAAGGCAAGAACGCATCGCAAGCACAAAAGAGGTTATGTGCCGTATATGGAGATGAAGCCTTAAAAGAAAGGCAGTGTCGAAATTGGTTTGAAAGATTTCGTTCCGGTGATTTTTCACTGAAAAATTCACAACGATCTGGCCGCCCAGTCGAAGTGGATGAAACCCATATCAAGGCCATTATCGATTCAAATCGTCACAGCACAACACGAGATATTGCAGAGAAGCTCAATGTGTCGCATACATGCATTGAAAAAAAATGAAAAACCCTTGGTTATGTCAAGAAACTTGATTTATGGATGCCTCACCAGTTAAAGGAAATTCATTTGACGCAACGGATTAGCATCTGTGATTCGCCGCTACTGAAACGCAATGAGAATGATCCATTTCTGAAGAACCTAGTTACTGGCGACGAAAAGTGGATAGTTTATAACAATGTTACTCGCAAGAGATCATGGGTGAAGCAAGATCAACCAGCCCAAACAGTATCAAAAGCAGAGATTCACCAAAAAAAGATTATGCTGTCAGTCTGGTGGGATCACAAAGGAATTTTGTATTTTGAACTCATGCCGCAGAACCAAACGATAAATTCAAATGTGTATGTTGAAGAACTCGAAAAACTGAAGGATGCAATTGAAGATAAGCGGCCGGCATTATCAAATCGGCGGAAGGGTGTTGTTTTCCATCATGATAACGCAAGGCCCCACACATCTTTGGTTACTCGGCAAAAATTATTGGAACTGGGTTGGGATGTTTTGTCACACCCACCATATAGCCCTGACCTTGCGCCTTCGGATTACCATTTGTTTTGTTCCATGCAAAACTCTTTAAATGGTAAAATTTGTAACAACGCGGATGATGTCGGATCACACCTAATTCAGTTTTTTAATAGCAAAGACCAGACATTTTACGAACGGGCAATTTGTACTCTGCCAGAACGATGGAAAAAGGTCATCGACAAAAACGGCCAATATCTAATTGAATAAAGTTATATTTTAAACAAAAATTCCGAATTTGCCTTCTTATTTGAAATCGGCAATGACTTAGTTGCCAACCTAATACTATGACCTCACTGTATGTCATATTCCACCACTCCACAGTACTCATCTCACCTTTTCTCTACCTTTGTGTCTGTCTGTCTCTTTTACATCAGTGAATCACTCTTCTGTTCTCCCTCTCGAATTTTTCTCACTTTGATGTTCCTCCCTCTGCGAAGCCCGAAGTCAACTAAAGGCCTGATGCTAACTATCATAGGGCCTGCCATTTGATATATGGATAAATATTATGCTAAACATCACAAATAACTTAAAGATCGCATTTAGCTTCACTACTCAATCGGCCGACTTCGAATTTGAGGTTCCTTCTTCAAGTGAATGCAGCTCCTTTGTGAATTTGTGGGCAAATTCGATAAACCTCGTTGGAAAAAATATTGTAATTTTCCTCAAGGCACCGACGCTATGTGAACTCAAACCTTGGATGTCGATGGGGCGAAAAAGTCTTTGTGAAACGCTTAATTTAACAATTTGAACTCCTCACATTGCTAGCGTAAATTTGACATTCTTTAAGGTTTTAAGAATGCGAGGTTTGAAAAAAAACTATTGAAATGAATCCAGGTAATGGGAAGAATTCAGTAAGTGTCAATTTATTTTTTAGCAATGGGGGAGAAAGGCAAGCATGAAAGAGTATTATTAATGGAAATATTTTGTGGGATTTAAAGTGCAACATAGGGAAAAAAACAACAAGATGAATAATAATATTGACAATTGTTGGGGGGGGGGTTAAAGAGAAAACCAGACGATAGTAATCAAAGTGATTAAAATGTATGGCATCATTCTTCGCCAGAAGCATTAAAGGGTGTGTCCTTGTCATTTCCTGATGTTTGTGACGCTTGATAAAAGTGACAATACAAACAATCAGGTTTTTGTTCAAGCGTTTTAGCATGGAGCGCAGCTTAAAGAGGAATACAGGGTAGTAAAGGATCAAAGTTTGTCAATATCTGCGCACATGTAATGTTTAGTGCATGTTAATCACATTATTTTCTGAGAATAGTACCTAGAATCCATCTTGTGAGCTATAGGAAGTTTAATTGTGTAATTTGTGAGTAGTAGAAGGTAGCGTATTACATCTGTGGATCAAAGTTTCCGCAGAGATTTAGTAACGGAAGGAAGAGTTAGTGGGAATTGAATTGCTCTAGAAGTGAACAGAGGTATGCCATAAAATGCTATTGAGCGATTATCGGGATATTTTCTTTTCGCAGGCCTCATCTCACTACGCAGGACAAGCGGTTTGATTTGATTCTCGTACCTTCTCGTGGATAAGTAAGATCACCTGCGAAGAAGCAGTTATTGCTGTTCTTGGCTACCCAGACAGTCGATTACTTGTCACCTATTCACGGTTTTATAAATAAATTAATTTTTTTTGCTAATAAAAACAATCTTCACTTTTTCCTTAACATCAGTCTGAGTAGTTGTAGGTTAAATAAAAGACTTCTGAGAGGTTATAACTTGCGGCAAAATGAATGAATGCCATGCGTGGCTTCTTGATTACCGTTCGATAGACGTAAGACGCGATGAACTCAGTGGAAATTAATCAGAACTCAGCTTGGATTACGTCAAAGAGCTACTACAACGAAATCCTTTAATTAAACCGACTAATTGGAAGGGAAATTATCTGAATGAACACCACCCATAAGGTCCACAAAAATTTATTCATAAAACCTTCTTTTGGGGATAATTTATAGACGTGCCCTAAGAAGTCATATAGATGAACATATGTAGCTTCGTTCAACTCACTAATAATGAAGTAAAAATGTCTTGATTTCAATTTTCCACTTTGACAAATGGTCGAATTTCGGAGTTGCTTCATGGTGTTATAATAGCGTCGAAATTCCCATAAACTTACGGTTAATGAGATATTGGACGGGGGGGGGGGGAAGTAAGTGGACAATTGACGCGAACTTGCCAAAATTAGTAGATGGGCAATCGTGTCTAGTTACTAAGGTCTCCAATCATTTTCAAGCACATTGGAATGACCCAGCTGACTCATACATAACCCTTATCTGTAAAAATTGCACACTATAGGGGAAAATGCAATCATTTATAATGTGGAAAGGTGGCCTTTTGTTCGATTTCGTTAGTTAGGTGTAACACTTTCTTCTGTGGGACGTGGAATTTTCTGCTTCATGTCTCAATGCTTAATGCTCCCGCTCTGTCAAAGGCTTCCTGAGAAAATTGACACTTGTGGTATTCAGAGATACTTTACCATGTTCTTTTAGAAGGCATTTCTACATGCCGACGCTATAAAGTTGCACAGTTTTAAAATAGTTGAGGTCAATCGAGGTTAACTATTGGACATGTATCTTGTGTCCGTTTCTTTTCAAATGAAGGCAAATTCTGATGGGAATTTAGACAAATAAAGTAATTTCATGATTCCATAGGATTCGCATCATTTTGTGATTCGTAAACGTAAGCGTTAAGGCCAAAACTAGGCTAGCCAATACTTCAAAAAGAAAATACTGTGTACGTTGCTCCGTCTTCAATCGAGGATGGAATTTTAAGTATGAATCACCCTTGGCTCTAATGAAAACAATTTCGTTGTAGCGTAAACTTGAGATGCAAAATGCCCTAATTGAACCCCCAAAATGAAGAAGCAACGTCTTGATTAAGGCAAGTGTTGAGTGGACCGTTAAGAAAGTTGCGATCTAGTGGATTGTTTAAACAATTCCAGGTGTAGGTTAACCGGAAGAAAACTTACAACCACTCATATCTCAAGGTACTTGTAACACTTAGCCAAAAGTGGAATCGTACAAAGTTTAGATTTAATTAGCATAAGTGAATAACTTTTGGTTACTTCATCAAAAAAATTCATTCTTGACTGATAATATGACCAATAAGATATTTACTTAATTAATTGAAGCCATACATTGGTAAATTAGAAAAACGGTTTCATAATTTTCAAAAAGTATGCTCAGGTCATTCCTATCACGGAGTTTTATGGGTAGATTAATCAAAGTCCCTGAGTGGAAAGGGTCTTTAAAACCATAGTCCATGGGATAACAAGGACATGCGATGGAGGTTGATTGAGTTACACCGACGAAAAGGCAGCCTTCCGAACCAGTTAACTTGATTCTTGGTGGTTTGATGAGTAACAGATAGGAAGGTTTGTTTGACGTCGCAAATCTTTTGGCTGCAAATTTTTTTTCGACAAATTTAGTTAATAGTACCAAATTTAAAAATTACATAATGATATAAAATGGCTACTTAAATGTGTAAAGTAGAGTGGTTATTTAATATTGAGAACAAACCTCCGGTCCACATACAAGTGAACACAGTGACTGCTTCGCTAATACAGCCACCTCCCATAGATATGCTCATATCCGTTGGAAGACCTACCACCCTCGATAAGTAACAACAGAGATTGCACAGTATAATGCAATATTTCCATTGAGTTGGGCAGGTGCACTCCAATTAACCTCGAAAGCATCGCAGGCAATTTGGCGGGCCAGGACCATATAATGTACCGTGAGGGTTTAAGGAGGGAGTGAAGGATATTTGTGTGTTTGTTTTAATAAAATAGGCAAACTTGATTTCAAACCCAGTGAACCCACAAAGAAGGAACCCTGACAAATAATATTACCAACCGTAGTTTATAATTTAGAAAATAAATAATTAATGAAACAGATTGATTCAAACTATAAAATAATATCCATTTAATTAAACCATAAATTTTCACATAATTTAGGGTAGAGTCAATCGGCCATTTTCAGGAATTGTCCCTGCACCGTGACAAAGTGAAATGCTTTTGTTAGCTAAACCACGACAATTAAGAAGTGCCCATTCTACGTTTATCCAACAAAGTAGTAAGAGTTCTCCGTAATTTGCTCTATATATATATATATATATATGTGTGTGTGTGTGTGTGTGTGTGTGTGTGTGTTTGCGTGGGCCGTTTGACTAAATTTTTCAGAATAATGCTTGGTTGCTTTTCAAGTTGGATTAAACGCATTCACGTAAATTACACATCCTTGAGGGATTAAACCATTCTTCATTCGTATAAATGATGATAGCGTGAATGGATAAATGTACGCTGAAGCACGATGATTTGCCAGGGAAAGAAAAATAAGGAAATCGCGATCAGTATTCAGTGTTCCGTAAACACTGTGAAGAATCCGGCATGGATTAGAGAATTGTAACGCATTCGACGAGACTAAAAGAAGGCAACACAATGCACCATCCGATCTGATTGTGTTCGTACAGCCGATCATCTCCAAAACCTGCTCTAGAAGAAGGTGTTGGAGAGCAGTGCCAACAGGTTTCGGTCTTTATCGCAGCATTTATTTGAACTTTCTAGGCACTAACATAAAGATTGTATTTAGTGTAGATCTTCACTCCCACGGGCTCATGCAAGGGTTGCTGAGGTTAAATTCTCAGAACATAGGGGCTATTGAAAATTGTCGTCTGACAAAAGCAAAGCAACCTCAGAACGAATAGAAACATTCAGCTAAAGCCCAAACAACCCCTGGTTCTTTTCCCAAACAAATACCAAATGCCATTCTACCAGTAATTCAGATTTAATGTTCTCTCAAAGTTGCATGGTCCTCTAATATGCCCTCCAAATCTACTGTGATCCCAAAGTGGAGTTGTTGACCACTTCAGTCGTTAAGTCCATTACCCAGTAATAGGTCGCATGCATGACGGCGCAAGGATTCATCTCTCTGACACCCAACTTAGGGAAAAGTAATTTCTTGTCGGCCAATAACCGACTTCACCAGTCCGACTTTCAATCGCCAAACTCGAGAAATTCACTATTCACCGTGTCAGTGTCACTGAAGCAACAAGTTTATCTATTCCTGGATCATTATCGGGCCCTAACTTTAGCCAGACTGTGGGTGTCATAGACTCAGGTGGGAATACTTTTGAGTGGACTCTTTGACAACAACGCAGTCATCATTTTTGTGTGCATTGCTTGGACTCTGGACAATGGTCTCACTTGTTTAGGTAAGCTATTTTGAAACTTATGGCCGAAGAGTGATTGAATGTTGAGGCATCTCACCTCATATTCTAAAGATATGCCACAACAATAGGGGTGCGCAATAGGCTTACCGTCACGTGGTGCACAATGGGCAACGTTTACTCATACGGCAAAAAGTCTATTAATCGGCAGTTGACTTCTAACTTCTAACTACCATGACCCGACTGTTTGTCATATTCGACCCCTTCACGGTACTCATCTTACCTTTTCTGTCTGTCTCTTTAACATCTGTGAATAATTATTGTCCCCCCTCTCTACTTTTTGTCACTTTGATGAGCCTCCTCCTCTCTGTGAAGTCCGAAGTCAGCTAAAGGGCTAATGGTAACCATCAAAACGCCTGCTATTTAAAATAAATAACCGAAGAGTGACTGAAAGTTAAGGCATCTCACCCCATATTCTAAAGACATGTCACAATAAAAAAACATGGAGCATACGTTTGGTGTATTAATGATCTCATATTCGTTAGGAGAAGATAAGAGAAAAAAATTGGCAAATATGATTCATAAATAACTCACCATTCCGTTGCAAATCACTTCAGCATATTAGTCAGGCTTATCTAATTTGCAAAAATTAATTTGAGTACTAATAATTCTGCCATTCATTTCCAAAAGCGTTTTCCGAAGGTCAAGATCAACAAGGTGAGGGACTTGAATATTTTGTTACACTTCATGTTAGACTGACTTAATTACTGGTTGTACATTAACTTCTGATGTGGTAGACATGTACGGTGATAGGAATGTATTTTCCCTAGAAAGGCGAAGTATTATTTATTTATTTCAAATGGCAGGCGTTATGATAGCTATCATTAGCCCTTTAGTTGACTTCGGGCTTCACAGAAGGAAGGTTCATCAAAGTAGCAGAAAGTCGAGGGGTGGGGATCAGAAGAGCGATTCACAGATGTAAAAGAGGCAGACAGACACAAAGGTAGAGAAAAAGTAAAGGTGAGTACTGCGGAAGGGGTCGAATATGGCATACAGTGGGGTGATGGTAGTTTGAAGTCAGAAGTCAACTGCCGGTTAATAGAATCTTTTGCCGTATGAGAATACGTTGCCCAGGGTGCAGTCGGGTAAACTAATGGACTTCTTGATTCATTATTTTCTAAACTGCATTCTAAATGCTTTGACCACAAAGTCTAAAAGGCGAATATTTGTCTCAAGGACCAGTTGAGCACTCCTAAAACTACTCGTGTTATTTATGAAAATTATGCCGTTAGCAAAATATTCGTACCAAAAATCCTATTCAGCCTACCCACGTCCATAGAAATTAATTAATTTTGCTTTTGATCTACTCCTATTATTGCGTTCAAATCAGGACAATTAACACCAACCCTATGTTTCCTAAAAATTCAGGAATAATAGCAGTCAGAATAGTTTACATTACATTTTATGTACACAAAGTTGTAGCACACGTAGTGTAAGACTACTACTACTCATCTCCATCCAAATCTTGAAGTTCTTCTGCTGTGATCTAAGTTCGCAAAAAAGAAACACAAAATTAAATATTGACAAAAGGGAAATTGAGAGAAAGCAACACCCAAGGCTTACCTTGCGGCTTTTGATCTTCTTTATTTTCTTGTAATCTTCCACAAGAGAATCCACATCACTGTTGCCGTCGCTGACTTCGTCCAAGGTCCCATCGGCTGGACGCTTTCGGTTAGGCCGAGATTGGTCGTCACCTACACTGCCTGCCAGACGCTCCTTTTTGAGCAGCTTTTTTTGCTTTCGAGCCGCTCGTTTTGCGCGCTTCTCTTTCGTTTTCGACCACGCCGAGACCTAAAGAGGGGGGGGGGAGAGACAGGCTAGAACATTTTCGCTCCGTTGAAGAGAAAATCAAAACTTAATTTTCAAAATGCGCAATAATTAAGTCACCAGTACTTCTTTAACTCGAAAGCGGACAGAAAAAAAATAGGGTAGAGAGCGAGTGGTAAGACGTAGGGCGACCAAGAAATATTAGTGAATAGTGGTGTTGAGTAGTCACCACCAAATTATTCCAGTGACATGACCTACCTCAGCAGTGCCCATCTTCACTATGGCGATTAATGGGGGAAATTATGCCGTTAAAACAACAAAATTATATGGGCTTCATGTGTCACTGGCGAAATTTAATTAAGGCGTCATTGAAAAAAGCAATGCAATAAACTACGCTTTCAAGATACCATGACACTTACAAGGAAAAAAAGGAGTCGAAGCATACAAGACGCAAGCATAGGGAGAGTGAGTGTTGATTGCTGAAGGTAAATACGCTCCAAAAAGAATTGCATTTTCCTTTAACTCACCTTTTTGAATTTCGGTGGTGGATCATCCTCCAGAGCTTTGCGTCTCATCTCCCTCTGCTTGGCAATACTTTTCTCCCTAAAGACACAACAACAAGATTAAATCGATGACGACGACGACGACGCGGAAGTAATTACCAAGTATTATTAATTACATCAACCTACTTATACTTGAGTTTTGTAAAGTCAACATCACAGCCTGCGAAGCTTGCTGTTGAGACATCCTTCAATTCGGGCATTTGAGGCATTCGGAGAAGACCATACGCATTGGCCAATGCACCCAAATCCAAGTCTACACAACAATAAACAAAGCAACTTGCTAGAACGCCAGGAAGCGAATGTAGCACTGGCCTAATTCTAAAAATAATAATTATCATTTCCCATCTTTAACTAATAGTTCCGGAATTTTCGGTATTCAACATTGTTCAAGTTCCTACACTGCGTTGAGAACATCATTATGTCGTCAAATCTTGACCTATTTCAAATCATTCTAATTACCTAGACCCCCACTCAACAAAAAGCCACTTAGATAGAACCATGACTGACAGCCAATAGTCATAATTTTAAAAAATCAATACTCTCAATCCTCCGTCTGATTTAGAAGCTGCTATTGCACCCTGAGACTCAATACCAGTCCGATCAACTGGGATTAGAGCAATTTTAAGTACCTTTGATTTTGAAAAGCAGTCGGCAGTCGTGTTTGAGATAAAATTGTGCAAATGAAACAAACGCCTTGATACTCTTCTCGTACATCAGGCTAAAAAAAATAAAACAAATAAATAAAAATATAAACCTTTAATTTAATTTTCTTTACTTTCTGCCTCCTTTATTACGCATTTTTTTATTACCTTATTTGAACTAATTCCATTAAATAGGTTAGGCATCGCTAGTGCATAAAACAATATTTTCGATTTACGTTTAGCCTATTCGTGCTCATAGCAAAAGTTAATAAGATGACAACCTGAAGAGTGGGTGCCTATTGCAAGAATTATGGAAAATATGAAGGGATGTTTGCTTTAATCCGGCTCTGGAATGTCTGATATCTCGAACGATCTCCTCTATTATTCTTAATACAAACTCGTACTTTCTAAAACAAAATAATTAACTGTATAAAGCAGCAAATAAATCAACATTTTCGACTTGCCGATCTTTCAAGCAGATCTTCTGAATCTTCTTTCGAAAGAATTCGCTCGAAAATTCATTCAAAATAGAGGCGTCTGAAAGTTGGGAAAGGTTCCGCTCCACCAAAGTTACCTAAAAATGCGAAATGGTTAAGATCGCCACCTCCCACCATCAACAACTAATCAGCACACGAGTCATAGCAATATTGACATACATTTTGGTTGATGCGAAGAAAATCCACATAGGCGACTTCACTAGGCGCAAGAAAGAGAACAGCTTTGCCCTCTGCTCCACATCGCGCAGTTCGACCACAACGATGCACAAAGAAGCTGTGTGGAAAATATTATTACTTCTACTTAAATTATTTCAGTAGAAAGAAAAAAAAGGAATAGCATACTTCGCATTGGAAGGAGGATCCCATTGGAGAACCCAGTTGACATTTGGAATATCAATTCCTCGGGCCATGACATCGGTGCACAGCAGAACACCCCTACAAAGAGATGTACACATATCTACTTACCAATGCAGATCAAAATTTACAAATGGGATTCTATGAAATAATTAACTTTCCATTGTTATTGGTTATTAATCTCAGAGATTTCGCTGGCTGTTAGTCCTCAACAAGCACCTTAAATTGGATACCTCGATAAAGCAGTTAAGCTAACTTAATTATAGACAGCAAAGAAGCTGATATCTACTTCGAGATTCAATACTACTCAAATCGATAGATTTGATTACTCATTCTTAAGAACGGCAATGATAAGTTCACTTAGGAGACTATTTATCAGCGAATTGAGCATTCCTAGTATCAAAGTTACCGGACAATGTTCGACTATTCCTTGCACAGGGAGACCAAATGGAACCAGGTGTGCGAAATAGTTAAATACTATGGCATTACATTAAAGGATACAAACCTGTTGGCATCTTTGAATTTAGCAAATTCGACAACGCGCTTGTTGCGCATTTTGCGATGGAGGGCGTGGACGAGGTGGCTCTGTGATGGTGGCAACAAACCCCCCTTGAGGAGACGTGCGAAGTAGTCAACAGCAGCACAGGTTGCTAAAAACACCACTATCTTCTCGTTTGTCGCGTGGCTTCGAAGGAAAGTCACTAGTGCTCGCAGTTTATCGCCCGGATCAACCACCTACAAAGTTTTTTTTAATCGATTAAACCACTTTCTCAGATAAAAGCAGGTGCATCCACGTGGTCATCTTTTAATCGGTCTACCTTCAATAGACTAGATTCAATACACATTTGAGATGTCCACTTAATACACAATCGCTGGTTACACTAGAGTTACCTCAAAATATTGTATATTTAGGTGTATATGAAGTGATCTACTTGACGGTCTTATTCATCAAAAGCCCTGTTGGTACACCGTGATTTGTCACCTTAATTGTCTACAGTGCTGAATACATTCCTTTGTGTTCCTTAATCAATCGCCATTAAACGAAAGCGTAATTTTACCCCATGTAAACTACCCTTACTAACTTTCACTGTCTCTCATGTACGTCACAGGCACACAACTGTCTCAACCTCATAATTCATGGTCCTCTTATATTAATTCATCCGTCGAGACATTCCACCTGGCAGATAGTAAAAAAAACATAATATGACCAAAAATAAAAGCTAAACATATGTGCTATGTTTAAAATGTGTAAATTGCCTTCACTTGACATGAGAGATAATCAAGTGGCGCTAGCCACTCCTGAGAGACAAATGACATATCCATTCAAAACTACATCTGTTTCTAACTTGACTCTCCAAATTACAATATTAACTATTTAATGCAAAAATCGATTCAAGTACAATTTTCTTAAACTTCAAAATATGGAGAGACAATCAGTGTCCATTCACATGTTTAGCTCCCTTTTAGACAGTTCTGTCTATCAAATTACTTATATTTGCCACAATATATCAGGATATGAATTAGAACTGACGCATTGACTTTGGGGTGTTCTGACTATCTTGTGGGTTAAAAACCTCAAAAGAAAAATTTCAATGCAGACAACTAAGCATCATTTGACAGAAAGAACTTACGAAGTAGAAGTTCTCAAGACTAGAAGGAGTTCTTTGTTGAAGATGATTGTCTTGACTCTGAACCAGCTCCTTTTCACGAACTACCACTCTCATAGGATTGCGCAGACCTGCTCGAAGCAAATCGTCAAGTTGATCAGTTTGTGTAGCCGAGAAGAGGCCTGTTCTGCGTTGTTTCGGGAGCATACCAAGAATGGCGTTCAATCTTAAATAAAAGTTGCATTAACTATGACAATTGGTGCAATGATTTCTGCCAAAATGTAAGCCCACGTAACATGGGCTCACCAGAATCATAAGTAATTTATAAAATAATGGCACATAATTTCAAGAAAACATAAGGCAACGCTCACTTCACAGATGAATATGTAACGCAAAATTATTCATCAACTTCACAGAACTCACTGGGGTTCGAATCCCATGTCCAAAAGGCGATCAGCTTCATCGAGGATAAGCACTTCCAGGGAGCGGAGTCCCCTAACGACTGGGTTGAGGGTTTGGTTATTGGAGGTCTGACCGAGAAAGAGGGGAGCCTTTTGAACTAAATCAACAAGACGTCCTGGCGTCGCAACCATAATGTTGGCGCCTTCCGATTGCAGTTTGTGAAGATCTTCAAGGCGTTTAGAGTGCGCGGCACCACCACTGAGAACCAGAGAGGAGAAACGAGGCGAACTGAAAATCACCGAAATGAGCGTTTCACTTATGAAAAAAGGCTGACTAAAAAGTTTACATGGCTAACCGCCTACCCATCTTCAAGTTTAAAGAAGCGCAGAAAAGTAGAGAGAACTTCGTGAATTTGCACTGTCAATTCATAAGTCGGAGAAAGAATAAGAGCACCAATCTAAAATAAATGTTGATTTCATATTGATTACAATATGGCGTTAATTTAATGCTAATGAAAATTACCTCGTGTTTTTTCCACTGATTTTGACGTTTAGATAAAATGTCCAGTATTGGAAGAATGAACGCAAGAGTTTTACCTGATCCAGTAACCGCTTCTGCGGCAACATCTTTACGATTCAAAAGCAAGGGAATAACAGTTGCCTGAACAGGCATCGGATCAGTGAAACCAAGATGTTTGATACCATCAAGACACTCCGGGCTTATATTTAAATCATTCCAAGTTTTGCTCATGACACTTGAAATTGACTTGTAAAAAAGTAAAATACAATAATGTCTAATATAGGTAAAACTGGATAGGATTGGAGAACACAATGGGAGTTAGCATAACGCCTACCTCAATCACACGTTTTAGTTTGAAGTAGGTACGTCCTTGACAGCCAATTATAATAGACTAATGGAAATTATTTCTAATTAACTGTAAAAATCTCAACTATAATATACATCGGTGAATGTTCATTATTTGAAAAGACAACATAAATTTCAGAATTAGTTGTTTGATTTATGCCAATAACTTTTTTTGATTTTTAAAACGTAACATATAAAAGCTTATATAACACTATTTAAGAATGAAATATAATCCTTGTGCAATATAAATATGAATCAGTTCCCTTTCTAGATTGTTATATAAAGGTTTGAATTAACTTAAAATTTGATCGAGTTGTTTTTATTGTTAGCCAGAAGTATGGACATGAAGTAACACCTGCTTAAATAAAAAATAGTATTATATGAAAATGACTTATGTATGAAACGTTGGCAACAAAGACCGAAAAGTCTAAAACATTTCAACCATTGATTTTGTTATAGATCGTATTCTTCGGAAATGATCAATTCAGCATAGAATCTTCAATAGCTTATATTCGCTTGCTAGAGTAATGCAATAGATCTTGAATGAAGAGAGTTACTATTTACCTCAATATGCCTCTATCAAAATAATTCAAATTGAATGCATGTATTTTGGATAAGAAACGTTGATTTTCAGCAATTCAAGCTTGCAATAAGATGCTATAAATTAGTAATAGAAGCATTTTAATATGTTGTTATTTGTTTATACATCCTAAGTGAACATTTATTTCTAATGGCAGGCGTTTTGTTAGATATCATTGGCCATTAAGCTAACTCTGGGCTTCACAGGGCGAAGGTTCATCAAAGTAGCAAAAAGTCGAGGGGTGGGGAATAAAAGAGCGATTCACAGATGCATAAGAGACAGACAGACACAAATGTAGAGAAAAAGATAAAGTGAGTACTATGAAAGTGGTGGAATATGACATACGGTGGGGTGATGGTAGTTTGTAGTCAGAAGTCAACTGCTCGTATACGTTGCCCAGGGTGCACCAAGTGGAGGTAAGTCTATCGCACACCCCAATCCTATGTGAACATAAAATTCTTTATTTCAGTTAATTAATTTTCCAAGCTTGATGTTCTTCTAAAATAACGAGTAAAATCCTATGACAATTTGAGAAACCATATAAACGCTGTGGAATCATAAACTAGAATAATGCCACTTTTAAGGAGTTACTAATTACTTCGAAATCAACTTAAATTCTTTTAATTAATTTTGCTTAAGTAATAAATGCACTCAAATAGTTATTTAACTATTTTAACATTTATTTAAAATGACCATATTTGTAATAGGTATGTTATCTCACAAGTACGAGTATGTAATTTCAACCCTTTCCTGAGTTTAATACTGCGGCCA